GCCATTTGGGATGCTGGCACTACAGGTGGTGGCTTAACCCACTGTGCCACAGCACCGGCACCCAGAAAAAATTTCCCCAGCTGAACCTTAGGGCCTGGGCAACTTGAGGCCTGGGAGTGGGGCGCCCCGGGCCCCAGAACGGCAGCAGCTGCCTGGTGAGGCGAGTCCCTGCCGTGTGCAAAGCGGGGGAGGTGGGCCAGAGGCCACCGAGAGCCCTCTCGGCTCCACACTTGATTCCTCCGGGTCTACACGCGGGCTGGGCCGGCGGCTGGGGCAGGTGGCTGAACTTACCTGGCCCGGTCTCAGCTGCGTCAGGGGCCCGTGCTGCCCAGAGGCTGTGACGAGGCCACCGTCGCCATCAGCAACACCCTCCTGACTCAGTGCCTCCCTCCCCGAGCTGAGCCTCATCCATGGCTCAGTTCACCTCAGCCTTGCAGCTCACCTGGGACGCCGTCAGCCCCGCTGAGGCACAGCAGGGTAAGCAAGGGGCTGGGGGCCCCCAGGCAGCAAGCATCAGGACCGAGGTGAAAACCCAGGGAGTCTGCCCAGAATCTACCCTCTCAACCCATTACAAACTGGAGAGGGCCGTGTCGGGGGGCGATGCCGGGCCACACCGTCTCAGTGGTTCATCTGGGGGTGTGTGTGGCCTCCCAAGCAGGGTAGAGGCTTTGCTTTGCAGACTCGCAGAGGCTTGGGGGCCCCACTTTTTTCACTCTTCCAGGGTGAAGGAGAGGCCTGTATGCCTCCCACTTATGGAGGGGCTGTAGGCGGGAAGCCTGGGGCCCTGTGAGGGAGGGATTCATCCACAGGCACCCACACCCTCCTCCCATCCTGGATGCCCTCGGAAGGGGCCTAAGGGGGTGTCACACTCCCCTGATGCCACAGATCCTGCAAATTAAATTGCATCTAAAAGCTAAATAAACCGGAGTTTGGGGGGCTGGCGCTGTGGTGCTGGCTGGAGTCCTAGGTGCTCCACTTCCGATCCAGCTCCCCGTTAATGCGTCTGGGAAAGCAGTGGAGGATGGGCCAAGTCCCTGGGCCCTGTACCCAGATGGGAGACCCAGAAGAAGCTCCTGGCTCCTGGCTTCAGCCTGGCCCAGCCCTGGCCTTTGTAGCCGCTTGGGGAGTGAACCAGCAGATGGAAGACCTCTCTCTCTCTCTCTCTCTCTTTCTCTCTCTCTCTGTAACTCTCAAATAAACAAATAAACCTTAAAAAATTAGAGTCCAGGCTTGAAGGGCAGCGTCTGGGTGCGGGGAGGTGGCCGAGAACAGGGCTGCTGACTCCTCCCCTTGCCCACAACTCCTCCGGGGTGGGGTCCCCTAAGAGCCCACGGCCCCCAGGGAAATCGCCACGGCCCGCGTGTATTTTAGAGCAAACCTGAAGCCCCAGGAGGGAGCCAGACTTGGCCGAGGTCACACAGGGAGTCTGAGTGAGCTGGGAGCCGGGGATCCAGAGCCAGGCTCCAAGGTCCTGACTGCGTGGTGGGGGCGGGGGCCACGGTCTGGGCGGAGCTTCACGTCCCAGGCTCTTGGGAGCACGGCTCGGGTGGCCTCGCTCCGGATTTTGGGCTCAACATCTGGCGTCCGTGGGGTGCCACAGACTCCAGGTCAAGGGCTCAGGGCCGCCCAGGGCTTGGCAAAGTCTCAGTTGGCCGTGGGTCGGGAGGAGTCTGATATGGGGGACACTACGCTCAGAACCTGGCTTGTCCCGGTGCAGCTCCCGTCCGCACCTCCTGCCCCGTGGCCTCCAGGAAACACAGGGAACCCCTCCTAGTGGGGGGCGGGGGGGCTTCTGAGGCTGGCTCCACCCCCCTGCTCTCTGCTCAGCCCAGCCCCTCGCCAAGGGTCTGGCTCAGGTCCCTCCCTCACTGGGGGAGCCCACGGCGGTCCCAGCTTGCAGCAAGCATGGTTCACAGCACACGGACACGGTGCCGCCGCCCTCAGTCTGCCCCGCGTCCCCTGGGCGCTTGCTGACCCCCGGGCCCCGGCCCTCAGCTGGAGCGAGGCAGGGCCTGGGAATCTGCAGCCATGGATCCGCCTGTGGGTTTCAAGGCTCCTCTTTTTCTCTCACTTGCTCGCTGTCCGTCGTGGGCTCCTTCAAGTGGACGCCCACGTGGCAGCTCGGGTGTAACGGACAGGAGCGTGCCTCCCCAGTGACGGCTGCCCCCTGAGCCAGGGACCCCCGAGCCAGGTACACCGTTTGCAAACCTCCTATTTCTTCCAATCTCTTCCCCTTTGGGGCCGAGGAACCAAGTCCCAGAGAGCGTCCTGCTCGGGGCTCGGCCCCTTCCACTCAGCGAGGCTTTCTCTCTGGGGGCGACCCCAGCACTGCGTAGCAAAGCCGCCAAGGACACACACTTGGAAGCCGGACTGCTGGAGTCGAAGCTCTTCACTGTGTGCCTCTGGGCAAGAGCCGCGCCTCTCTGTGCCTTGGTCTGCCCACCTGTACAATGGACGCATTGTTGGAAGGATGACAGGAGTGACCAATGGGAAAGAGAACAGTACCTGGCACAAAGGGAACGCTAAGGGACATGCACAGCCCGCTGCCAGCCCATGATGGCCCTGGCCCTGCACACACCTCCCCGGGCTGGGCCCTCGGTCTGACGTCCCCACGTGTCTCCTGGGAGTCCAGAGAAGACATAAGCCATCAGGGCTGGTAGCGTCCAGGGGCAAAGGCCTTGCGCTGTCCCTGCCCCACGCGTGGGAGCCCAGCTCCTCTTCCACAACCGCACTGGACCTGAACTTGGACCCTGGGGTCCGGTGCTCACAGAACCTGGTGGCTGGAAGGACTGCAGCTTCTCACAGCGCAGGGCCCCGACCTCAAGCCCGGGGCACGTTTTGATGGCGTCACCTCTGGGCTCAAGACGGCACAGGCTGTTTCCACGCAGCTTCCCTAACTAAACCCACAGGTTACAAACCCCAGGGAACACCAGCATGGAGCCAGTCCTGCCCAGTCTTCTAAACACTCAACGCTTGCTCTGAGCCTACGAGGAGGGCAGGACTGCTACGCCCATTTTGTCGATGAGAATACTGAGGCTCATGGAACAGCCTGCTTGAAATCAGCTGCAAGGTCAGGCCAGGAGGCAGCGATGCAGGCATGATCCAGACCCTCGGCGGGCTACAAGGGACCGCTAGAGGGGGCCCACATGACTTCCCAAAGGCAGATCTTTCCTCGGAGGATTCTGGGAGCGTGGCATACCACGTCCCATGTTCCCTGCTTCGAAGGCAACTGATTACCTGCTACTTCTCAGTAATCTGCTAAGAAAGCAAACAGGGATTTCCAAAACCCGGCACCCAGAAATGCAAAGGAGCCACAGGTGGTGTTGCGAGGGCTCTGGCTCAGAGTGTGGCTGTCAGGTGCTTCTGCTCTGCTGCCCCCCGCCCCCAGCTCCACTTGGGGGTTTTCTGGGCCTGGGTGGAGGAAGGCTGATGGGAAATAAGTCACAAAAGTAAGGCAGATGGAGGGCATGCCAGGGGCCACTGGTGGAGGGCATGCCAGGGGCCACTGGTGGACCCGGCTGCAGTACCAAAGACTTCCTCTAGGGGGCGAGCGCACCTGCCCGCTCCCAGCCCGGCACCAGCAGTTAGGGGCACCAACTCTGCAGCCAGACTCCCAAGGAGGACGCTCACTCCACTGTGACCCTGGATACACCCAGTCTCTGTTTTCTCATCGGCAACACAGGCTGCTGGGAGAGTTAACCAAGTTAATACATGGAGAGTGTGTAGCATGGAGCCCAGCCTAGCATAAATGCTTACTAAATGTTAAGTATTATTGTTGTTACTGTTATTAGTTACCCCTGTTGCAGCCTGCCAGCACGGGTGAGAGCACACACAAAAGGACCACAGAACAGTCGGGCAGGTTGTGCACTGCACAACACAGGGCACCATTCTCGAGGTAGTCCGGAGAATGCCACCTTCTAGAATAACGCAGTGCACAACCTGTGTGGTGGGGGCCTGGCCCTGGACACACCTGGGTAGCCCTAATTTCCAACTAACAGGTACCACTTGGAGATGGACCATTTGGAGCAAGGTATCCTGTATTCTTTTAGCCAAGGAGGTCCTGTGGTTTGGGGTGGACCTACAAAGATTTGAACACTGTGTGCATTGGCCCTGGAGCCTGGCAGGGTGGTAGGTAGGAAAGCTAGGAGGCTGGCCAAGCCGCTCCTCTCTGGGCCAGTCTCTCCCCACCCCCACCGCCGGCCACCATGTGTCCAGTGTGAGGAGCTGGGTTAGTTTCTAGACATCTGCCGACTCCCGTTGATTGGCAGTGGCTTTGTAAAGTGAGAAATCAGGAGCCACTTTGGGATGGGTGGGAAGGGCTCTTGGATTGATTAGTGATGTCTACACAGGGCCAGGGAAAGGGGGCAGTGGCATGTGTGTTGACACAGCTGCCCTCCAGGGATCAGCCTGGGGGTCTCAGTCCCTGCTGCTCCTTAGAATCACTGGAGGCATCAAAACCCCAGGTCTCATCGTGGGGCCCCACAGTGCAGTCTCCCTCCCCGGGGAAGGCCTGGACGGTGCCCCCGGGGGACTCTCCCGGGGCCCGGAAAAGCCTGGCCCCCCCACAGCTTCCACCAAGGAAGCCCTGTGGCTCCCTCACTGTCTCTCTTACGCCACTCAGCCTGCAGGGAGCGGGGAGGGGGAAGCGACACGCCCCAAAGTGACAGGCTCCACCTGTGGGTGTCGGGAGGGGGCCCTGGGGGGAGGAGGAAGCAGACGAAAGCTGACGGGGCCGCTGAGCTCCGAAGGTGCCAGGCGCGGAGGGGTGCGTGAGGCCCCCAGGGCAGCCCTGCATGCTGGCAGCTCCTCCAAATCAGAGACGTCTTGGCGGGGGGCTCCCTGGGCCCAGAAGCCGGCCAGCTTTCCTCCGCCCCTCGTGCCACCGCCCCGGGCCACAGCCCTGGCGCTGCAAGGAGCAGGCCACGCCGGGCTGCGCCTCCCAGCGGGCACGGTCTCCCGCCCGGAGCAACAGAGAAGCAATCAAATCACATAGAATTCGATCATATTTTAAAATAAGCTTTATTTAGATTTTTTTTAATATTTTATATTTGCATCCATGCCTTCCAGAGGGACCTTTCTCCGGGGGAAAGGTCGCTCCATCTAATGTTACCCATAACTCATTCGCTATTTGATGCAGTTCTCTTAAATAAATCATCCTTAGTGACTCTGAGAATTATCTCCTAATTTACAAAAACCGAAATGAAAAGGAACTACGGGGTCATTACCGGGAGAGGCTGCGATCTGATTTGTGCGCCGGTAAAAGCGGGGGGAGGGATGAAAATCAACCGAGAAATCAAACTCATGGGGAAGAAAAGCATTTTCCAGAAGGGCTCTCGGTGGGGAAGGTGCCCGCTCGGCTGCGGTCACACGGAGGCCACCCTGGGGCCCCCGCCTGCTCCGCGTGCTCCAGACTTGGCAGCAAAGGTCCCACCCGTTTCCCCAGGGAGGCTCCGTGAGCGCTGCAGGGCGCCTGGAGGGGGGCTGGGCGGTCAGTGGTTAGGGGCAGCAGCACAGGGTCCGCAGGGCAGGGGCAGGGCAGGGGTGTGTTAGGCTTTGCGAGGCCCTGGCTGAGAAGCTGGCTTGTCCCCCTCACCTGGCGGCAGGATGCACACGGCTCCCTGGCCGACATGGTTCCCCCAACAGGCGTGTTCCCACCAGCGTTCCCCGCCCGCCTGGGGACAGCGGACTCCAGGTGTGATGCGTGGGCGGGCAGGGCCCCCAGAGTCTAAATGTGGCCCAAGGGACAAGCCAGAGTGGAAGCTGCGTCCCCAACAGCCATCCCCCCGGGACACCTGCCAGGCCCGGGTGCAGAATAAACCGGGGTGTGGGGGGGAGGGCGCAGCTCCAGGCCCCCTGGGGAAGCAGCTCAGGCCGGGGGTCCTGGGGTCGCATCTGGAGAGGGGTGGGCTGTCCTGCCCCGGCTTTTCACTGTCTCAAGAGGCAGAGCTGGGTGGGGCGTGCCGTGTATGCCAGGCAAATAAACGCATACAGAGAGAGGCCGTGAGAAGGGGCAGGTCCCTTTCGTGCAGGGGCGGGAGAGCAGGGGAGACCGGGGGAGAGAGAGCGAGACACAGAGAGAGCAAGCTGAGAAAGCCAACGGCCCCAGGCGGCCGCCTAAGCCGCACCCGGCAAGGCAGACAGACAGACATGTCGGCAGAAACCCCGCCTCCCGCCCCACCCCGTGGAAAAATATACATTCCGTTATGTACGTAATAATTTAGATAGAATAAGTTTTCTGCATTTGTGCAAATAAATTAAACAGAACAGGTTTTTTTTTTTCTTTTTCCATAAAGAGACAAACGGCCACGCAATGTAAAAACTGGCAGGCGTCAGTGGCGGCCCGGCTGACCTCTCCCGGGGCAGCCCAGTGCGGGGGACCTGGGCCCGGGGCGGAGACCCCGGGGCGGCCCGCAGGTGCACGGACGCCGGGGCAGAGACCCGCAGGTGCGCGGGAGCCGCCCACGCTCGCTCCGGGCTGCGACCCTCGCGGTATTTAGAAGTACACAGCAGTCCTTCAAGTTCCCACATTTCATCACACGGAGGAGAAGGGGGGACGTGGAGACAGCGAACGGAACAAAAACGGGAGGGGATTAAAGGACCCGGACATTGAGAACACAAACGGGGAACCGGGTTAACAACACAGCGGTGTGGCTCCGGAGACAGGGACGGCGTCACACACGGCGCGCTATGTACATCTGTGACAGAGGGCGCACCCACGCACGGCCACACGCGCACGCCCACGCTCGCACGCACGCACGCACGCACGGCCCCGCGCACCGGCCCAGGGCGCCGGCTATCACCAGTCCGCGTCCTCCTCTATGTAATAATCGGGGGCGGTACCATCAAAGAGGCCGGGGTCGAGGGACTTCCGCTGCTTCCCTCTGGCGAAGACGCGCGAGATGGAGCCGAATCCCATCTTCTCTTTCTTCTTCTTCCGCTTTTGGTCTTCAAGATCCTCTAGTGACTGTGCGAGCGGCAGCCGGGGCCCGGGTGGGGGAGAAGCAGGCAGTTAGCTGGGCACAGGGCAGTGCGCAGGCCAGGGGCCCCACCCCCAAAGCAGGACCCGCCCCGCCGGAGGTCAGCTCTGGGCGCGGGGCCGGCCATGCCTGCTGCACCCTAGGGTAGCCTGGAAACCCGGGGCTGAGAAGCAGCAGGTGCAGGCCCGGGGCAGGGGGCGGGGCCGGCCACGCCCAGCTGTCTCTCCTGTGATGTGGGCGTGGCTAAGATGAGAGCTGCCCTGTCTTCCTACGGGGTGAAGGGGGGGAGGGGGAGGATTCAGAGCCTGCAGCAGAGCTGTGCAGACCCGGGGCGCTCCCTGCCAAGGGGTGGGGGGCTTAGACCAGACTCAGCCCCCAAACCCTTGAGCGCCCCTTTGGTTTCAAGCCCCACCCTGCGCTTGCTGGTCAGAATCTACAGGGCCAAGGGCCTGGGAATCTGCATGTGGGCTCTCTTGCCTGGTGGGACCCGGATGTAGGCGGGCAGCACACAGACCAGCAGGGGGCAACCCCTAGAAGAGACCGATGGCCCCTGCTTTCTTCCCCACGGCCCCCTCCTCACTCTTACGATGGAACATTGAAAATGCTAAAAATGGGTAAAAAACAAAAGGCCCTGGAATAATGATGACGACTTCAAAACCTTGGGTGCCGGGAAGACACGGGCCAGGGCAGCAGGACACACACACGGGTGCACTTAGTAGGTCCACGTGTCCGGCAGAGGTGACCCCAGGAGAGGAGCTGAGACCAGCTCAGGCACCCAGCCACACCCCTTCCCGCCCGGGGAGCCGCAGGGATGGCCGTGGGGAGGACCGGGCCGCGCGACCAGGGCAGGCTCACCTACCTGTACAATAGGGTTGTGCAGGCTCTTCTGAACGGGGCCGGGACTGTCGCCCTGAAGCCAAAGGAAAAAGGAAGATGAGACAGCAGAGGACACACGACACGTGAGGACGGGGGTGGCCACCGCGGCGGAAGCCAGCCATCCCCCGGGGCGCCCCTGCCTCTGCCGTGGGGAGCCCGCCCCCATCTCCTGACACAGACACTCCCAGGGGACTTGCTGAGGGACCTGGGGCTCATCAAGGTGCTGCCTGCACCAGGGGTCCCAGACAGAGGCCTGGGGGGGGGGGGCTGTCCCACCTGCTCTGTCCTCCCAGCATGCTCTGACCCACAGACTAGCCCTCCAAGGCCTGGGCTCCTGTTAGAGCTGCAGGGTGTGATCTTGGTGCATTTCATAGACGCTCTGTGCAGAAAGCACAGTGACCAAGAATCCGGAGAGACAGACTCGGGAGGCTGTGCAGGCTCCAACTGCCCCTGCGACCCGCACCAGGGGTCTCTTACGTCGCACAGGGCAGCCTCTCTGATTAATGCAGAGTTCAGGAACAGGAGTGGCTCCTGGCGTCAGCATCACAGAGCTCCTGAAAGCGGAGCCCGCACCAAGACGGATTCCAGGGCTCCTTCCTGGCAGGGCTCCAGGGCAGCTACAGACTCAGCCCCGGTCCCGAGCCCTGGGGCGGCTCAGGGGACCCACACGCAGGCTCTGTCTGCCTGGGACCCACACAGGCCTGGAGATGCAGGACATCACCACTGTGTTGCCAGTCCTGTCCCAGGTGGGTGGCGAGAGGACCCTGAGCGGCCTGTGGGCACACAACAGCCTTGACTACATCCCGGCACCAGTCTGCCCTGCCTGGAGGCAGCTGGCTTGGGTCATGGAAGTCATTCTTAGGGAGCCTCCTGGTGGTGGTTTCTGGAATTGCAGGCATAATGCCCATAGAGAAACAGCGATGTCCATCAGCCTTCTCCACACCTCTGCTCTGAATGAGTGCCCAGGGTGGGAGAGGATGACGGGGTCCTAGCTTAGGCTGTGCTGCTGTTGCTGGGCCAGGCCAAATGCCGGGGAACAGAGGGTTACCTGGAATTATTTTCAGGCTCTTCCTGGCTTACCTGTGTGGATATAAAGGGGTTGAGGGAGGGAGGAAATGTAGCAAAAGGCAGTTCAGTCTTTACTCTCGAGAAATCTCGAGTTTGCAAACAGAACGGATTCTGCAGGCAGCTAAGATAGTTCGCCCTCGGTCTGGGACTGTGGCATATTGGGTAAAGCCTCCACCTGCGACACCAGTGTCCCATATGGGCACTGGTTTGAGTCCTGGCTGCTCCACTTCCAATCTAGCTCCCTGCTAGTGCATCTGGGAAAGCAGCAGAAGATGACCCAAGTCCTTGGGCTTCTGCACCCATGTGCAGATGAAGCTCCTGGCTCCCGCCTCGCCCAACCCTGGCCATCACGGCCATTTGGGGAGTGAACCAGCAGATGGAAGATCTCTGTCTCTCTGGCTTTCAAATAAATAAAATAATTCTTTTTAAAAATAGACAGCTCTCCTCTGGGTAGGGCCACCTTTGCTAAGTTCACGGGTAAGAGAAGGAGACAAGTTGGCCACTGACACGCATATGTGTGTGTGTGCGCACACGTGCGTGGACCACTGGCTTGGTGAAGCACCTGTCTCTTGGCCAAGTGTCCAGTGAGCTCGGAAATCAACGTGCAGGAGCCGCGTCTCTGGCAGCAGCTGTGTGCCAAGGCCAAGTGGGGGAAAGGCTGGGCCTGGGGCTGCGGTAGCCCAGGGACTTTCAGAGAGCTGGTTCTGCATGACGGCTGCCCGGGGCCCACCGTGAGCTGACAAGATATGGGCCTGGGGAAGGTGTTCTCGCCTGGGCCGGGTGTGGGCGGGCTCTCTGCCTGGGGACCACTGCTGGCTCCCCATCTAACTCCACAGTGGTCCCTCAGGACCCAAGCGCGGTTGTCAAAGGCCCGCTAGTCCCTCCCCCCCGCCTTGTCTTGATGCTGAGTCAAGGTCGCCTTGGTTACGAGGATTCTCTCCCAGAGACAAGACAGTTTCCAGGGAGCCCCAGTGGGGAAGGAAACACTGGGCACTGGGCAGGCCCCTGGAGTACGGGTGACCCTCTCCCGACCTGATGCGGGCTGGACACGGCCCCGGGCCAGCAAATCCCCCTGCCCACGGCACCAGGCCGAGGCGGCTCCTGGGACGTACTGTAGCCTTTGCACTTCTGTGAGCACTTCTTATCGTTACCAGGGACTGAAAAACACCGCTTCCGTCCCGATCACCCACACGTGGGCAAGTTAGCGCTGTTTGGGAGTTGGTTTTGGGCCAGCGCTGTTACAGACTGGCTTCTCAGTAAGTTCCAGCAACTTCTCGACTTGTTCCCTTCAGTCTCCCAGACAGAGTCCTGACGTCAGCCGGGCTCCGCTAGGTCTGTTGGCCGACGTCTTCCCATCATTTCCCGGTCACTAAGGCAACATCGGCTGTGCATCTGCAGGCTTCAGCCTGTGGTGTCTCTGTCGTCACGTCAGGGGCCCCCTCTCCACGACCGATGGCGTCATGGGACAAAACTGCAGAAGGGGCCCCGCCCCCTGACCCGGAGCCTCACAGTGGCGTCTCAGGACGCACCCCCTCCCCAGCACTGCCCCGGAGCACGGGGGGGTTTGGGTGCCGTGTGCGGGTATCCTCCGAAGGTTCACGTGTTGGAACCTCGGTCCCCGAGTGGCGCTGGTCAGGGCTGGTGGGAGCCTGCAGAGGTGGAGCAGGTGGGAGGTCGGTGGGGGCGCCGCCTTAGGAAGGGACTGCCCTCAGCTCTTGCCAAAGGGCAGCGAGCAGAGAGCAAGGCCGGCCATGCCCACTGCCCCGCTTCCTGACGTGCGCATGCTCTGGCCAGGACGGCCTCAGCTGGGGGAGGGGGTGACACAGCCGGGCCACCCCCGCCCGAGCCAGCCACCTGCCACCTGGGCTTGCAGCTTCTGGAACTGTGAGCTCAGGAAACCTCTTTTCCTGCCTGCCCGGTCGGTCAGCTACCCTTCCGTGGCTCAGGACATGAGCCTCTTGGTAGCTGGTGCCAGGGACGCCATCACCAAGTGTCGATTAAATGAGCAAAGAAACTGAAAACAAACTCAACGGGACGCCTCTCCAGACCAATGCATGCGAGACCACTGGACATTCAAAAAACCCGAAATCCTGACTCCACCCTGGACGGAGGACTGAGGGCTGCCTGGAGAGGGTGGTGGTGGTGAGGCCCGGAGCGCTGAGGGCCACCAGCTGGGAGGAGAAGCCACCATCCCCGACAGGGTTCGTGACAGGGGCGGGGACTTGCAGGCTGCACAGACCCTGGACACGTGCGCCCGCCCGGTCACAAGGAGCCATCGGGCCTCATCTCTCTTTGTCCCCACATCCACGGCCGCTCGCCATAGGCAAGAACGGAACAGGACTGCCTCCGCCACAGTGCTCCCTGGGTGGGCGAGAGGAAAGAGCAGGTGCATCCCGGCCGCTGCCCGCCCCGCCCTGTGGCGTCCGACCCCGCTGCTGCTGGCCTTACGTTGCAGAGGGAGTGCGTCCGGTGTCGCGGGGAGTTGATGTCACTGGGCGTGGATGACCGGTCACCCTCGGCGGCGGAGGCGTCGGAGATGACGGAGGGCTGCCGGGAGTGGCAGGGGCTCACCCTGACCGCTGGAAAGCAGGGACAGCGGGTGAGCGGGGGCCGCAGGGACCTCCTGGCCAGCCGCCCCCACCGCACAGATAAGGACGCTGCGCATAGGGAAGGGGAGAGACGTGCCCAGCGCTCCTCCTCTCCGTGCAGCCCCTGGCGGGGAGACCCTCCCTCGGCCTCTGGGCCCGGCGAGGCCCCCTCCTCACTTGCAGACTTGCAGGCACCACGCAGCTCTGCAATTTCCCGGACAGACAGGACACCCAGCCCCGCCCCCTCCCCAGCAGCCACCGCTGTCTCTCACCTGCAAGACCGCGGCAGCCCCTGGGGCCCCTGGCTGCCTCCACACCTCCAGGCACCTCATTCCCCTGGGGGACACCCCCCCTTTCCCTCTGAGGTCCGTTGTGCCACGGCCCCGCCCAGCAGGCAGCCTCAGCCCAGTGACGGAACCCTCGTCACTGTCACTGTCACTGCTCTCAGGTCACACGGGGCCTCCTGACCGTGCCCGAGCTGCACTGCCCCCGGCCCCCACCTCAGCCTCTGCTACCCCCGCTGCCCACCCTGGGGGCTCCCTGCCTTCCCCAGCCACCAGCTCGCCCTCCTCTGACTTTCCTCTCCGTAGTGCCCGCTGTCCACTGCGTCCTCTCCCGCAGCTGCTCCACTGCTCAGCTGGCCTCTGTCTGTGGCTGATCCCGCCAGCTCCGTGGGAGCGGGCACCTGGTGGGTCTCATCCGTGCTGAGTCCCAGGGCTCACGGGGCCTGGCACATAGTAGGTGCTCAGCGAAGCCCGGCTCAGAAGCTCCTGCGGCAAGGGCCCCGCGTGTGGCTGTCCCATCTATAGGCGCTGGCACGGATGCAGGGGACAGGCTGGCTGAGCGCCTGCTCTGTTCTGGTGGCTGGTGAGAGTCCCCGCCCACCAGTGGCCACACGGTCTGGTGGAGGGTGCGGGTGGCTGGGAGGACACTGGTTGAAGTCATTTACAATCTGGGTGAGCCCGCACTACAGGCTGGTGGCCGTGAGCACGCCCCTCGGCCCCTTTGAGGCAGGCTTGTCACCGGGAAACGGGGCAGAGCGGCTGTGTGCACAAGCCTAGTGCAATGCCGGCACGGGACAGGTGGGAGGGGCTGTGACGAATGCTATGACAAGGACAGCACAGGGCAAATGCCATGATGCATGGGAGTGTGGAGGTCACGGGGGACCAAGCTGGGGAGAGAGGAGAGAAGGCTTCCTGGAGGAGGGGGTGTCTGATGGGCATAGATGAGGCAGGTACTGCCGAAGAGGAGGGGCCCGGAGGATGGATGTGTCAGCCTGGCCACGCCTTCCCAGCTCCACAGGGGAGGGGCCTGCCGCTGCCCTGTGATTCAGAAACTGCCCCAAGCCCCGACTGCTCTCACATGGCACCTCTGCCATGCAGCCGCCCGGGTCTGCACCAGGAGCCAGGAGCACCGGCTGCACACCTGCTCTGAGACTGGTCTTGGGCAGGTGGCAGTCTCCCTGGGTCTCAGGCTCCGCGCCCCCCCAGGCTTGTCCCAGGAAAGTCACCTCCCCTCGGGCCAGAGGCCAAGGCGGCCGCTGCTCCCTTTGCGTGGGAAAGGGGGACAAGGCATCTGTTTGCTGCCAGGGATCTGACAGCCTGGGTGTCCCCATGGAGGAGGACAATGGTGAGGATGACGAGAGTGGCCGCTGCTACTCCTCCCGGCCCCAGCGTAGACACACTCAGCGTGCCCCACACATGCCCCCCGCACACGGTGAGGAACTAAGGACCGTGGGCAAGGGCACAGGTCACGTCGCCAGGAAGCAGCCGGGCCAGGATCGGACCCCAGCAGTCTGTGCGTTCCCACCCACCTGCACCCCCGACAGGCAGGGCCAGCACCCGCGGCTCCTCCCTCGCCGGCCGCCAGCCCCCTGGAAGCCAGGGCTGGCCCATCTCCTGCTGGCTCCAAGGGCCAGCTCTGCCCACGCCCACTGCAGACGTGGGTGAGGAAGGCCCAAGGGTCAGGGTCCCCGGGGGCACAGCGGCTGCCGCCAGCTGCCTCTCCCCAGCCTGCACCGGCCACACAAGGGGAGACGCAGAGAAGGGAGCCAGGCGCCCTGCAGATGTGCGAGGGCCAGCGAGGAGTCCAGAGCTGTTACCGCGGGCAGCCGACCTCCGTCAAAGCGTGCATCAAACAGCCCTGACCGCGCCTGCCCCTCCTGCATTTCCTGTGGTCAGCTGAGCTGTCAATCCAGGAGCTCTGTGGTCTTCCCTGCCAATGAATGCCCCATGTGACCCAGACTGGCCAATCAGAGAACTGGCTCCTCCCCTAGCCATAGTGATTGGTTCCAAGCGGGCAGGTGACCCAGGGTGGCCAATCAGAGCCATTTTTTAGGACTGGCTATGGATACATGGGGAAGGAATGATCTCTCTTTCCCAAGATTTTTGAGCTGTAAAGGCTTTTAAATTCTGGAACTGGGGCCGGCGCTGTGGCGTAGCAGGTAGATGCTGTCTGCACTGCCGGCATCTCACGTGGACATCGGTTCAAGTCCTGGCTGCTCCACTTCCTTTCTAGCCCCCTGCTAATGTGTCTGGGAAGGCAGCAGATGATGGCCCAAGTGCTTGGGCCCCTGCACCCATGTGGGAGACCCAGAAGAAGCTCCTGGCTTTGGCCTGGCCCTGCCCCAGCTGTTGTGGCCATTTAGGGAGTGAACCAGCAAACAGATCTCTCTCTTCTCTCTCTGGAACTGGAACTGCTGGGGCCTGTCTTGCTGCAGGAAGATACGGCCTGAAGATGAGGCCACACAATCGGAGACAGAGAGACCCAGCTGTGGGCTGAACTTCTGGATCCAGCTGTGCCTGAAGTCCATCTCTTAGACGGATCGGTCACAAGTGCCCGTCCTCAGGCTCTGCCCCACCCCCACCCGGGCCTCCGGGAGCCAGGACTCACCTTGGCGGTCTGCAGGGTGCGGGGGGTGGGAGTGGTACAGCGTCTGCTGGCTCTGCCGGATGGCTGCGGTCAGCGGGAGGTCGGCCTGCACCACCCACTCCTGGTTGCCGTTGAGCACCGTCTCGCCCGGCATGGCGAGGGAATGCCGCTTGGGGACGTCCTTGGTCAGGGTGGCTAAGGACTGCTTGGCCTGGAGAGAGAGCCGGCGGCGTGACCCAGGGCATCTGGTGGCTGCGGCTCGGCACCGCCCACCGCCACAGTGGGGAGGCCCTGACTCCCCGCCCCGCCCTGCTGGTGGGTCCCCAGGCCAAGCACCTGGGGGCTCACTTCGGGGTCACCCCTCAGTTCCCACCGAGAGCAATGTGAGAGCAGATGCAGAGAGAAAGGGGGCGCCCTGACGGCCGGCTCTGCCTGCTGTGGACACTGATACGGTGAAGCCGACGTCACATCTCTCCTGGTTCTAGAACTTTCCAGACCTTGCCCCCAGCCCTGTGCGCTTCCTGGTAGAGAAGTGGACAGCCCTGGCCTACAGCCTCAGGCACCCTCCCCCGCACTGAGCGGCTCTGATCTGCAGCAGGTCCCTGCGTCCTCCGAGCCTCAGTTTCTCCACGTGTACCACGAAACGCCTTTACCCAGGGACGCTCAGGGCCCCCCCCGCCCCGGCTCGCGCACCCTCGGAGCCTGTGAGACCAGTGCCCTCCCACCCCGGCCCCCGGGAGCTCAGGTCCGTCCGCAGATGGAGGCTGAGCTGATGGTGTTGGCCCTGCACCCCCAAACCAGGCAGCCCTGTCCCCTCTGGCTTAGCAAACCCTTAGCCGTATCCACTGCGCTCATGTGCTCCCTGCAAGTAGCGAGAATGGGGTCATCCGCTCAGAGAGGTTAAGTGACGGCTCCGCGAATGCAGAGTATCCAAGTTGCCTGACTGAAAGCCCAGTGTGTGGTTTCTACCCAACCCCCCCTCCCAGGGGCCTGGAAGCCAGCATGGAGAGGCGGGCTGAGCCACGGGCCACAGACCACGGGGCTGAGCCACAGAGCTGAGCCCACGGCAGCCTTGGCCTTGGCCCATTTCTCAGCCTGCCACTGCGTCTTCCCGCTGCACCCGAGGGCCCCGTCTTCCCTCCAGGGCGCCCTCTGCTGTCTGCAACCCCAGGACCCAGGGCACAGCCAGGGAAGGCGCCTCCCCCCGTCTCGTCCTCATCACCCCTGCAGCGGGGGAGCTGGGCCAGCCAAGCACCGGCAGCCCTGGCTGTGAGAGCCTGAGGGTGTAGGCCGTGCAGTCAGGGGGCGCCCCAACAGGACGGGGGCTCTAAGGGAATCCCCCGGCCTCCGAGCCCGGGGGAGGTCTGGCTCGGGCCTGCGTTATAGCAAACCTGTCACCCTGAGCTGTGCCCGCTGCAAGCCCACACCCCTGCAGAGGGGCCTGTCACCCTGAGCTGTGCCCACCGCAAGCCCACACCCCCGCAGAGGGGCCTGTCACCCTGAGCTGTGCCCGCCGCAAGCCCACACCCCCGCAGAGGGGCCTGTCACCCTGAGCTGTGCCCGCCGCAAGCCCACACCCCCGCAGAGGGGTCTGATGCCTGCCAGGAGGCGGAGGCAAAGGCTTGAGTCCTGTCGGCTGTAACACAGCGGGGGTTGACCAAGGCAAGGTCTGCCCATGCGCAGGGCACTGGGCGGCCTCTGGGGACGGGGCCTCCCCTGCATCCCTTCCCTGGTTTGCAACGTGGACGCTTCTGCCCCTGGGAAGCCCCCTGGGGCAGGACCCCTGCAGCCACAGTGTCCACCACTAGGGGTCAGCATTGGAGAGGGAGAGGCCAGAGCTCCCGCCCTGCCCTGGGAGTCTCCTGGAACAGGCGACCTTAGGAAACTGCGGTGTCTATAGAGTGAGGAGCTGAGGCCCAGAGGGGGCAAGTGTCCTGCCGGGGGTCACACAGCAAGCACGTGATGGGGGCTGCACCCCCGCCGGGAGCCAGCCTCAGGCTCTGGGGCCTCCAGGGCCCACAAGGGCCTCTCACGTCCCGGGAGGCCCAGGCACACCCTCCTGCCGGCCACCAGCCCCGTGCAGCCCCGGCTCCTGTGTGAGGCCCTCCTGGCCACACTCTGCGGCTCTCCCCAGCCAGCCAGTGGGGCAACGGCGGGGACGCCGACCCCAACGCTGCACCGTGACGCAGGGGCCCAAGCGGAGCCGCATCCTGGGGCCCCAGACCCGGCCTCTCCCGCCAGCTCGCTGGCCCTCGGCCCACGGCGCACGGCGCACGGCAGGAGTGAGGAGCGTTCTCCCCTTGAGGACAGAAGATAGACACTTGTGCTTGACACATTTGACACATGACAACAAAAGCCCATTTTGGGTAATATTACCACCCTGGGACAGCTGGTGTGAATCCTGCGGTATATTTGTTCCCAAGTATTTAAATAAATAAATATATGTATCGGGGCCGGCGCTGTGCCGTAGCAGGTAAAGCCACCGCCTGCAGCACCAGCATCCCACATGGGCGCCGGTTCGACTCCCGGCTACTCCACTTCTGATCCAGCTCTCTGCTGTGGCCTGGGAAAGCAGTGGAAGATGGCCCAAGTCCTTGGGCCCCTGCACCCGCGTGGGAGACCTGGAGGAAGCTCCTGGCTTCGGTCTGGCGCAGCTCCAGCTGTTGTGGTCAACTGGGGAGTGAACCAGCGGATGGAAAACCTCTCCTCTCTCTCTCTCTCTCTCGTTGCCTCTCTGTAACTCTGTCTTTCAAATAAATAAATACTTTAAAAATAAATACATAAATATATATGGGTGCCTCAAGAAATTTATGGGAAAACAAATGATGCTTATTTTGATGCAAAAAATCGCAATGCATCAGAATCTTGCCTAGAACGCGTTTTCCACGAGCGTTTTGAACTGCTCTCCCGCTTTCAACAAACAGCACGGATGGTTCTCTCTGAGCAGCGGCCTGGGAGTGTGGGAGACTGAGTGGGCCCCCTGCACGCCCACTCCTCCCGGGCCCCAGGCAGGGGCGAGGCTGCTCCGGGGGTGGCCAGGGCCCAGGTGGACCCAAAGGGCCCCCAGCCTGCCCCCCAGCCCCTCGGGACTCTGGGGTGCCCAGGCCAGTGCCCCGCGGCCCCGCCCCCAGCCCCTCGGGCCTCTGGGGTGCCCAGGCCAGTGCCCCGCGGCCCCGCCCCCAGCCCCTGGAGACTCTGGGGTGCCCAGGCCAGCGCCCCGCCCCCCAGCCTCCTCGGGACTCTGAGGTGCCCAGGCCAGCACCCCGCGGCCCCGCCTCCAGCCCCTGGAGACTCTGGGGTGCCCAGGCCAGTGACCCGCGGCCCCGCCCCAGAGTGAACACCGCCCCCCAGCCTCCTCGGGACTCTGAGGTGCCCAGGCCAGCACCCCGCGGCCCCGCCTCCAGCCCCTGGAGACTCTGGGGTGCCCAGGCCAGTGACCCGCGGCCCCGCCCCCAGCCCCTCGGGAATCGGGTGCCCAGGCCAGCAGCCCGCGGCCCCGCCCCCAGCCCCCTCGGGCCTCTGGGGTGCCCAGGCCAGCGCCCCGCCCCGGAGTGGACACCGCCCCCAGCCCCCTCGGGCCTCTGGGGTGCCCAGGCCAGCGCCCCACGGCCCCATCCCCAGCCCCTCGGGCCTCTGGGGTGCCCAGGCCAGCGCCCCACGGCCCCATCCCCAGCCCCTCGGGCCTCTGGGGTGCCCAGGCCAGCGCCCCGCGCCCCGCCCCGCGCTCACCATGGCCAGCTCGGCCTCCAGCTCCTTCATGCGGTTGTCCTTGAGGTCGAGCTGGGAGCGCAGCGCCGCGGCGTGGTCCGTGGCCTCCTTGGCCTGGCGCCGCAGCTCCCACTTCTCCCGCTCCAGCAGGTCCTTCTCCTTGGCCAGCGCTCGGACCGCCTCCTCGCTCTCCTGCAGGCGGGCGGGGACACAGGCGCGGCGTCACCACCAGGGGGCGCGGACGAGCCTGGGCCAGCGTGAAGGCCTCTGGCAAGGCGGCCAGGAGCGCCGGCCCTGGGTTTGAATCCCGGAGACGGGGCCCGAGACCAGCCCTGAGAAGCTTCCCACAGCGGTGGGGACAGCGGCGAGCAAGCACTCACGACTTCCGCCCCGGCCAGCCGCTGTGTCCCAGCCTCTGCTACTCGCCCCCCTGGGACCATCGAGAGGGGCCACCACCTGTCTCGGAGCCTGACTCCCAGAGGCCCAGAGGGCATCCACGCGGCCCTGGTCTGCAGGGATGGCCGCGATCACCGCTGCCTCAGTTTCCCCGTGGACCCTGGGTGCTACCGTGGGGGCAGCCAGCAGGTGCCTGCTTGTTTGACACAGGTCCCTGCTCAAATGTCTCCTCCTCCGAGAAGCCTTCCCAGACCACCCAGGTAAGAGGGCAGCCCTGGGCCCTCTCCGCCCCACATCTCTTACTCAGCTGATACGCCACGACACCATCAGCAGGCACAAAACCAGACAAGGAGCCCTGATCTCACGGAACTTTCTCTGAGAATCTGCACTGGCGTGGGACTGGGGCAAGGGGCGCCCCTTGAGAGCCAGCAGGTGTGCGAGGGGCCACTTAGGGACCAGCCCAGCTTCAGGAAGAAGACCCACGAGGCCCCTCAGGGTGGGTTTCTGCGTCCGTGTCTGTGCCTGCTGTCTGGGGTGCCCTCGGCCTCTGCACTGGGGGGGGGGGGGTCCCTCAGGAGCTTGCAAGGCCCCGCCCCCTCCCTGGGTTGAAAGTCAAGGCAGCCAGGAGCGGCTGGACAGGTGCACAAGGTTTCAGCTGCATTCTTACATGTAAACCTCACAGCCACGCAGGCGGCAGGCACTAGGATTACTGCCATTTCACAGCTGCGCAAAGTGAGGCCCGGAGAGAGAAAATAACTTCCCCAGCCCCACAGAGCCCTCCTTTGCCGCTAACCCACGTCGCGGCTCTGCAGGGCTAAGTGCAATGCCCAAGGGCACACACGTGGGAACCGGCCAGACCCGAGTCACCACCCTCCTGACTGAGCCGTCCGGTCCCCGTCTGTCTGTCCAGGAGACAAGGAGATCCCAAGCAGCAGTGATGCCTGTGTCCCCCGGTGCCCAGGCCTGGACACACACATCGGGGGCCTGGAAGCCCTCCGGGCGCTGGGATCCAGAGGCGGACCCCGCGCGGGGCTGAGGGCGCGGGGCTGGGGCAGGCAGCGCCACCTTGCGGTGCTGCTCGTAGTTGCGGATGAAGTCCCGCAGCTGCTCCTCCCGGCTCTCCAGCGTGGCGTACAGCTGCTGCATCTGGCTCAGCAGGTCCGTCTTCTCGCCCTTCAAGCGCTTCCGGTCGGCTTTCATGGCTGGGGACGGGAGAGAGGGGCAGTCAGTCCCTGAGTCGCAGCGGGCTGCTGGGGACGCCCACGAGGGGCCCCAAGGCCATGGCTGCGGTCACCGGTGAGAAACCCGAGCTCCCAGGGCCCCTCTTCTCCCGGCTCAGGTCTTGGGGCCAAGCAGGCGGCCAGGCCATGCAGAGAGCCAGGGGAGGCTCGGGGGGCAGGAGGACCCCGGGTCGCAGGCGGCTGGACCCGTGCAGCAGCTCAGGTCACCAGGGCCCAGTGCCAGTGTGGGGTGTGGGGGCGGGGCACGGCTGGGCTATTTTGGGTCCTGCCACCAGCTCAGGCAGCCACAGTCCCAGCGGCCTCAGGGGAGGAAAAGCCGGCTTTGAAGCAGTCCCTGGGCAGGAGGCAACCTGCAGGACAGGCAGGCCCAGCGGTGCTGGTGTGGGAAACTTCCCAGGTGCACACTTGCCCCGGCTGCTGGCCACACACCTGGGAGAGCGGTGGGCCGTGGGTTTTGACCTCCTGTCTTACAGAGGAGGACACAAGGCCAGTCAGCAGCACAGCTGGGGTGAGCTGGTGCCGACGTGGTCCTGATTGTTTGCACAGCAGTGGGTGCGAGACAGGTGGGGAAGTGCCGTGGAGTCCCAGGAGTGGGTCCTGGGGGGGGGCGGGGGGAGTGGCCAACCCCAGCAAGAGCTGTGGCTTCCCAGGGAGCCCCGCATGGGGACAGGGGCCGCCGTGAAGCCCGCGGCATGGAGTCCCATGGGAGTTTCCACCTCTGCCCTCCGGCTGGCCAGGGAACCACACCTCTGCCCTTTGGTTGGAAATAAACCCTGTGGGCTCCGATTTCTTCATGAGGCTGATGGGGCGAGACTCCAAACTCCAGCCTCTGCTCGGGGCACCTGGAGGTTCTGGGAGGGACGTCCCCCCACACCAGACACTTCTGGGCCTGTCTGACTTTGCACATGAACTCGAGAGCGCGATGGGCAGCCCCTCGTCTGTGTGCAGCATGCTGACTGCCTCTCCCATCTGACTAGGCGCTCCTTGTGAGCAAGGCTGGACCTCCGCCTTCAGATCAGAGCTGGAGCTGCCCCTCGCGGTCCAGTTAAGCACCTACTATGCGCCAGGCTCTGTGCTTGCTGCAGTGAGAGCAGGAATGAGCTGACACCCGCCCCTTTCTTTGGGTGGGTGCTAATCCGACGGAGGAGGCCAACCCCCCATAATCGGGGTTGAAACCACACACCCTCCAAGAGAACCCCAATGCTGTGTGTGTCCAGCAAAAATACTCAATTTCCCCTGCGCCCTTGCAGCGAGAGAGGCACGCACCACAGCGCTGACCATGGTGTTGGACGCAGACGCCCACCCGGGGCGACTGTTCCCTCCCCGAGCCCGTGAGGACGAGGCCGGAAGCTGGGAGCGAGAAGGCGTGTGAGTCGCCAGGGCACCGCCAGGGCTGGGATTCTTGGAACAGGAGAACACGCAAACCCCAGCGTGCACAGAGTTTCTGGGGACGTGCAGCCCAGTGTCTGCCAAACAGTCCCCAGGGCCAGGCTGTGACAGGTGCCGTCACCTCCACTTGGAAGCCCTCACTTCCTGGCTGCTTCCCACCAGCAGGATTCCTTGGGGGTCCTCGCTCTGCCTGACTCCTGTGGGCGCTGAAAACCCAAGAGCTGAATTCCTGGGAATGAGCAACTGGAACGATGCGGGGCCGGCATTGTCTGCCCACGGCCGCGCCATCTGTTCCCGGCACAGCCCATCTGTCGGTGCCACCTGAGGCCCACACAGGAGACTCGGCCAGAGGAGCAGCCTGGGAGTGCCTGGGGACCCCTGGGCTGGAGCGGGGTGGGAAAGTGGGCCCGTGCTTTCCCTGTCAAAGCCCACAGCAGGTGCAGGCCCCCCCCTATCAGACAGGAACCCCCAGCGGTGGATGCTCACGGTGTTAACTTGGTGCAGACCAAGAGAGCGGCCCCAAACACTGCCGGGAAATACTGTGACGTCTACACACGCAGCTGTGGGGCAGCACCACGGGCCGGCTCCTTCCTTCCCACGCCACAGCTGTGTCTCCCGGGGACCTGCCTCCTGACTCAGCAGCTGGGCCGCTCACTGCCCACTCACTCCCCAGGTCAGACCCTGCAGGAGGCCAGCCAGCTCCTGGGCACGCGGGGACTCCTGGGGTGGGGCGGAATGGATTCATCTCTCCGGCTCAGAGGAGGCCACGTGCCTGCCTGGGATGGGGCCGTGGCCGGGGGGCAGCCCTACGCCGTGGGCACTTCCCATAGACGTCACTGTTTTCAAGCTCGGAGGTGGGTCCTTCTCCAGCAGGCCACTTGCTCCTCCCCAAGCCCCGCCCCTGACTTCTTGGTGGGCGGGGCCCCGAGAGAAGAGAGGGCCGGGGAGCTCCTGGCTTTGGCCAATGCTACATGGAGGGGCGGGGTGGGCGCCAGTCGGCGTCCAGGGATCTGACTGCCTCCCCCCACCCCGGTTCTGAGCTCGTGGGCACGGAGCCTCAGCTCTCCCAGCTGCGATGCCCAAGCGCCAAGCACTCTATGGCCTCTTCATCCTCACCACTGCCCGACAAGGTCACTGTCACCTCTGACAGGGAACTTGGCCCCGCAGTAAGTGGCACAGCCCAGGGCTGCTCTGTTGCCTCCCAGGTCACCAGCCCCAGGCCACTCCTCCCAGCACACTGGTGACCCCACACTGCCCTCGTCTGCTCACTAAGGACCTTGCACCTCTGGGTGGGGCTGTGCCCATTTTATGGAGGGAGAAACTGAGGTTGGCGGGGTTGACTTACTCACCAAGAGCCACGTGGCCACAGCGGCGGATCCAGGACTTACACTGAGGGTGGCCGACCTCCCCCCACCCCGCCCCGCCCCCACAGTCCTTTCACCTTTGCAGTTAGGAAAGCGTAACCTTGTAAACAGACGGCTGCTGCCTCCATCCGCAAACCGGCGGACAGCGCGCACGCTGATGCCGGAAGCGTCTCTATGGCTTCTCGAGGTTTCCATCAAAAGTGGTCTGGCGCTTTGTATCCAGTTACTGCTCCGAGCTGCTGGCAGGAGGCTGTGTGTGCGCACACGCGTGTGTATGTTCGTGTGCGTGTCTACACGCATGCACACACGCACATGCACGTAAGCAGCTCTTTACAAAGCCTCCACCAGCCACTCCTTCTGGTTTGCGGCTCCTCAGCCCGCCCCAGTCAGTCTCATCCCACGCACACCGTCTGCAATGCCCAGAAGACGACGGGTCTCCAAGGCCAGGAGCCCCGGTCAGAACTTCCCGCCCCGGCGGACGCCGGCCACCGAGGGTGGGAGGGGAGAGAGGTGGCCGCAGAGAGAGGCGGACAGCAGCCCGGGCTGATGAGCCCGGCCACTGCCTGCAGGGCCCCCTTTCTCTGCCACTCTGTGTTCCTGACTCCGGCTGGGCAGCAGGGGCCCCAGGGTCCCGGGGCGACATCTGTGGGCTCTGACAAACACTGGACAAACGTGAGGCCCTCAGGGCTCTTCCAGCTCAACTGCCCGTTACAGCAGGAACCTGCCCGAGTTTAACTGAGCCTCAGTCTCCTCATCAGTACAATGGGAGGGGACGGAAGGTAGCAGCACTCCTGCCTCGTAGGGACAGGCTGTCTGGGGCTGAGTGAGCTGCGGGGTGCAGACCAGGAGCGCTCGGGGAGAAGCAAGCCCCAGAAAGACCCAGCTCAGAGGCAGGGAGCCGGGGATCCTGGGCCCACCAGAGCCACTCATTAGCTGGGCGGCCTGAGACACCGTGGGCACCTCTGAGAGCGTCCGTTCTCACCTGCGTGAGGTCGCCCTGCCCTCGCCAGGTGTGGTGCAACACGACCCAGCACAGAGCCTGGCTGAATACAGCAGGTGCTCAATAAATGCTGCCTTCTCTCCCTGTCCTGCAATGTCCTACACCTTCTAGGTCAGCGTGCTCAGGCCCCACAAGGCCCCGGGCATGGCGGCTTGGCGTGACCGAGGTGCTGTTTCTGGGCAGAGTGCCTGGGGGCAGAGACCCAGGTGGGGAGGGCACCCCTGGGGGCAGTGTGTTCAGGGCCCGCAGACTTGGGGCCCGGCGGCGGTGGACACCAGTGGCCTTGGGCTTTTCCTGGTTGAGAAACGAACAGGTGAGTCCAGACGCGGGTGGAGCTCAGCCGCCTTTATCAAGGGTAGGAAGGCTGCTTCCCGGGGGCAGGCGGAGCCGCCGGTGAGAGAGCCGTCCCCTGAGCCAGGCCTGCTCGGGGCAGCTCTGCTCATGGACATCAATCCCTTTCTTCTCACTGTCCACACAGCCAGCGGGGGACAGGCCTGGCGCCTGGCCCCAGAGCCCAGCATTGGACGCTCAGGCCCACGATCTTCCCAGAGGTCCCTCAGAGCCTCTCCACGTGCACCCTGGACAGCAGGTCGGCTGACCTTTCCAACTCCCTGCCCAGGGCAGGAAGGGAAACACCGGAACTAGGTCCTAATCTTCCAGTTCTGAGGCCATGGCAGACATTACTAATCTAACAGGGAACCTGGGTGGATTAGTGATGTCTGCCATGGCACGGGAGGGAGGCTCTGCCCTGGACAGTGGAGTGACTGATGAGAGCCAGCATGTTGAAGATGACAAGGTGAGATGACACACTCCAGGGACCCAAGGCCAAGACACGGAGAAGCACTTCTCTCAGCTGGTGGGACACCAGCTCATTCACCCCATGGACAATGGTGGCAAAGCAACTCTGGCCTGCAAGTTTACAGGCAAGAAAACAGGTTTGATGTCCCTCAGCTGGGTCAAAGGTCAGGGACTGAGTCCTAGGTTTGCTGACATGTTTCCACATCCACCCCAACCAGTCCCTGGGGGAGCCGGGGAGCTGGCCTGCCTTGCTCTCTGCTGGGTCCCCTTGCGTCTGGAGCAGCGTCCAGCACATAGCAAGTGCTCAGGCCATCGCGCAGGACTGGCTGATGCACACGTGAGCTAAGACCAAGGTGGGCCGCCTGGGGGAGGGGGCGCCTGTGCTGGAGTGGCAGGGAGCACTCAGCCTG